GCAATTCTAAAAACTTCCAAGTTAGTTTTTCTCCATTTGCGCTCAAGATTACGAGTTTCTTTCTTGAGAGAATGGGTAATAGTGTTGTACCATGGTGCAGTACGTGTTTCTCTAACCTTTTTCAGTTTTAACGGGGGCAACATTAGAGAAGCTATACATTACTATTAGAGAAGATAGTGCCCATGTTGCTAGTCATTTCGTCTAGTTCATATGTGTTTATGGGTACACAGACCAATTGCGATAATTCAGGCGGCTTATTTGTGAATCTGGCTTTGGTGGCTGGAACAATAGTTCTGCCCGGACGATAACACGGAGCCATATAGTTAATATCAGTAATACGCAGCATGCACGATACAGGTCTGAGAGGAAATCTGCAAATTCTTTTAGGAAATCTGTATATGGCACTGATGGTCTATACACAGTAGCCAGAGCAAGAGATAGAAGAGATCTCTTTTGCATATCTGACAGTGTAACATTAAGCAGAAGTATTTCGAATGAGTTAAAACCTGTATCCTGTTTTCTGGGTAACATTGAGAATATCACAATATGTTGCTGCAACACCGCCGCCACGACCAGTCTGACGGGGCTCATGCTTATAACAGTAGCTTGGTGGAGTAGACTCATTTAGACCAATATAATCATATGGTTTGAGTCAGGTTTGAGTCAAGCAGAGTACATCAAAACTATTATCTGTGATCATTTCATTTACAATAACTGTTTTGGGTGCGAGTGATCCAATGTTTAGGAGCCCAAGCTTTAAAAATGTTTTTTATTCATTTAGTTTGCATTTATTTAGCATTTAATCATGATCAGGTTTTATCTAGATCCTGCATTACATTTATATTTTGACCTCACTATTCGGGGAACAGACACAGTCTTTATAGATTGGACAATGAAAGTACTTTTATCGTTTTAAGTGGGTAGAACAAAAGCCAACATAGTACTAGTCATATGGAGCGTAGCATCCTGGAGATGTTGTCCGACAGGATTTCCGCTCTGACTCTGCTGTGGTGCAGGCCATCAGTGCGAAAAAGCTTATGTCGCTCCCAGAAAAGATTCCAATTATTAACAAAGAGTAGTTTCTGTTCTTTACACCATGACAATAACCATTCGTTTAAAGCAAAAAGTCTACTGAACCTTTC